AACCCACTGGYGCCAGCTGTGGTCCCTGCTACAAAACCCCTCGCCAAGGCCTTTAGTACCTTGCTGTTGCCATCTAAAATCATGTAAATATCGTGGTACAACATGGCTGGGCGCGGTGGCGCACGCCTGTGATCCCAGCGACTTGGGAGGCTGAGGCAGGAAGATGCCAAGTTCAAAGCTAGCCTCAGCAATGGTGAGGCCCCAAGCAACACAGTGAGCCCCTGTCTCTAAATAAGACAAAGGAGGGCTGGAGTGGGCTCAGGGGTCAAGGACCCCTGGGTTCAATCCCCGGCACCAAAAAAAAAAAAAAAAATCGTGGTAAAATATAAAACCTACCATTTTAACCACTGTTTATTTCTGTGGTGTGGGGGTTGGACCCGGGTCTTACCAGCCCACATTTTGGTATCAGGGTTGAACCCAGCGGTGCTGGATCACTGGGCAGCACCCCAGCTCTTCATTGGTCACTTTGAGACAGGGTGTGGCCAAGTTACTGAGGCAAGTTTTGAACTCCTGATCCTCCTTCCTCAGCTTCCAGAGCTTCTGGGATCACAGGTGTGTCCACGTGCCCAGCACACAGCTGCTTTGGGGCCATTTTTAAGTGCTGCGGTGGCACATGGGGGCAGCTGTCACCGCCATCCCTGGGAGCTTTTCATCTTCCCAAACTGAAGCTCTGCCCCGTTAAGCCAGCTGTCCCCCAGGACTTGCTGCTCTTGGGCCTTCTGTAAGTGGACTCATGCTGGATATGTCCTCCAGCACTTGGCTTGTCTCATGGGCACACTGTGCTGGGGCTGTCCCAGGCTGTGCTGGGCCTGTTCCTACCTCTTCATGGCGGTGTAGTGCTCCCATGTGGCTGGACCACAATGCTGTCTACACCTCTCTGGGCATGCTCCTGAGTTCGAGCCCTCAGCTCTTGGGGACAGAGTTGTGGGACTTCACTTTGTCAGCATGCCCCTTTGCCCTCCTGAATGGCACTCCAAAGCCACTCACGTGCTCCTGTTTCTGGCTCTTTAGGATCTGGGCCTCCGTCCCTCCAGCTGCTGGGCTCCCTGGCTCCTCCCCACTGGCCTCTTAGATGCTACTCTGTCCATCCCTGAGAGGCTCATGGGACAGGCCAGTGGGCCAGTCGCAGGCCCTCTTCCTCCCTCCCCATCTGCAGCCCTGGAGCAATGGCGGACCGCACTCTCAACCCAGAAGCCTGAGCAGGAAAGTGAGCGCCGTCACTTTTGTCCTTAAATCAGCCTCCCGTGTCTCCCCTAGAACAACAGTGAGGAAAGGAAGAAACTCTATGAAGCAGCCTCATTGAGGCCATCAGACGCTGTCCCTGTAGCCTCAGTTCTCCACTCCAGCTGTTTCAGAGAAGTCATGAGTGTCGGTCCCACAACATGCTGGGAAGTTGGCCCTGACGTCCAATCATGGGAGCCCGGGTGGTGGCGGGTGCCCAGCGGGTGCTCTGCAAAGGCTGGCTTACGGCTGCAGCCACCAGCGTCCTGCCCCCTGCCCTCGGGACCTTGGGCTGCAGGCAAGGACGTGAGGAGAGAGGCAGGGAAGCTCCCCTGTGGTGTCATCAGGCAGGTCCTGCGTTGGTGTGGCCAGGGCACAAGGCACCCAGGGCGCAGCTTCAGAGGATGTAGGTGGCTGCGTGCCGCTTGTTTCTCACAGCAAGTTTTTTCCCTTCGGTACCAGGRATTGAACCCAGGGCTCCACCACTGAGCTCAACCCCAGCCTGCTTTGCTTTTTGAGACAGGCCTCACTAAGTTGCCGAAGTTGGCCTTGAGCTTGCAATCCTCCTTTCTCGGCCTCCCAAGCTGCTGGCGTGCAGTCACTGCACCTGGATACAATGAATTTCTGAGTTTACGATTGAGTTACAGCAACACTGGGGACAGCAAAGGACACTCCCTTCCTCTGTAACAGCTGCCCTGCCACAGGATCCTGGGCACAACTGAAGCCTACAGGGCCTGGGACACAGGAGGTCAAGTCGCCATGTCCCTTGGGCTCCTCTGGGGTTCTGTGCAAGGTCCCTTTGGGGCCCTGATGCTCTCACCGTCAGCCCGGCAGTAGCCACAGTTCATGGGGCTGGTGCTGCTGGAACACCTGGCAGGGGCGTCTGGGTGTCTCTACCCACTCAGTTACTCTCTCCAATGTGCTCCTGGGGGCTGCCCCACAGCCCACGGGCAAGGACACCTCCAGGGTAGCACAGCGGGCAGGGTACAGCCTCGTGCCACCCAGACCCACTTGGCTCATTTGGACGGCATGTGCTCCAGTGGTCCCTTTAGATTGTCCCCTAGTGACACCCAGTTCTCGTAAAGTCTGAGCAAGCACTGYGGTGTTCAAAACTAGAGACCGACGCTCAGGGCTCACTGATCTCTCCGGCATGGAGAACCCACCTAGTGGTCCTTGCCCTGCTCTGGCCGTGGAGCCCCCRGCTCCTGTTCCTTGACATGCCATCGCTGTGGGCACTTCTGACCTGTTGGGGCCTTTCCCACACAGCCTGGGACCAGCCACTCCWCCAAGGCCTGGGCTCCTTCTGGAGGGTAGAATTGGGAACCAGGACCTGGAGTTGGGTGTGCCTGCTGCTCCTGGGGTTGGCGGAGAGGCGTGTGAGCGCGTGGACCGTCCTGCCAATGTTTTTGTGGAACCGTACTGGGGATTGTACCCAAGAGCACTCTACCATTGAGCCGCACTCCCAGCCCTTTTAAAGATCTTGAAAAAAGTTCTTGCTAAATTGCTGAGGCTGGCCTTGAATTTGTGATYCTCCTGCCTTAGCCTCTCAAGTTGCTGGCATGACAGGCGTGGGCCACCAGGCCCTATTTTGTCTCCCCATTTGACTTCCCAGAAGTAGGCGTGCTACAGAGGATGTGCTCAGCACGACCTGCTGGGTGGGGCCTGTGGCAGTGTGGAGCGGCTTCCCAGGCTACCAGGTGCTGCCCTCCTAGACACTGGGCACACAAGGAAAGCAGAGCTGCTCTTGGGCAGCCACAGGGCTCTAGGGACCTAGGAGTATTGCCATGGCAAGTCTGCCCTTGCTCTGCACCCCGTGGACCTGGGAGGACCTGTAGGGAATGTGGTCCATACTGGCAAGGGCACAGCCTGGCTGTATTTCTGCCTTAGCCTAACAACCCACTATCAGGGGAGGATGTGGAGGCCCCTCAGCTCCAGTCTGAAATCCAGATGAGCAAGGACCCTCTGAAGTGCCTTCTCAAGTCCTCTGCCTCTGCACCCCGGGTGCCCCTGCTCAGCAGTTCGTGGACTTGTGATTAAGCAGCTCTTCCCGTCACTGACAGGAGCTCCTGCTTGCCACAGACGTGTGGGCTGTCCTTTCCAGAGAACCCTGCACAGCCCAAAAAACGGAGGCGGCTGGCATGGACTTGCATGGAGCAGGCCAGGAGGCCCGTCATGCTGCTGAGAATGGGTGTCTGGCACCCCTGGTGTTCCCAGCCTAGGGGCATGTGACGGCCACCAACCCTGTGCCGTGGAGCCTGGGAAAGCTGTGGGCTCCTGGGTGGCCCCTGTGCGGTAACAGCACCAGTTTCTTCTGGGCTTGTCCCTGTCGCCACTGCTAGCCAGGGACCATGCCGTGCCAGCTGAAAGCCACTCTCCAGGACCCGAGTCCCGAATGGAGTCCAAAGGAGAAGGGCTGGGACTCGCCTTCTGCAAGGGCTCGGTGGGCCACCCAGAATGGCAGTGACTTGCCAGGGGAGGGGGCAGGAGGGCCTCCCTGGGGACCCAAGTGACACAGGCCAGGAAGTGCATGGCAGATGCTGCCACCCCAGGTGGATGAGGGCTGGAACCCATGCCACCTCATGGCTGCCCCCACCCCATGCTGTCCAGGGCCAACCCTCATACCCCCAGATGCTGTGGAGGGCAGGCAATGCAGTGACAGAGCCGCTGGCTTAAAAACTCAGGGCAAAAGGCAGCCATGGACAAGCAAGGGCGTGTCCAGGAGGGCCCAGGACTCGGAGGCTACCACCCAGGGCCTCACCCTTCCTCTCCTGCAGTGTTGTTGCTCACAAAGACCCGACCCCCCCCAGCCCATCTAAGGCCTCCTCTGCCCTGTGGCCTCCCCCAGCATCCTGGACACCTTGCAATGGGCAAGCCACGAGGCACAGTGAGCGCCACCTGGCAGGCTCAACCCCAGTGAGGATGCCCAGCAGGCAGACGGGAACTGGCGCATCCCAAGGGTCCCATGTGACTACCACCGTTCCCACCACTCCGTGCTGCTCCCGCCAAAGACCGGCCAGCAGTGCCTGTGAGAAGCAGGGTCCTGCCGACGTGGCTCCTGAGCAGTGTTTCCTCAGCAGGAGCGCCGGTGCTGGCCCACACCGAGTGCCCTCTGCAGAGGATGGTGCCGAGGGGCACAGGGTACGCACCACCCCAGGTGAGCCCCCCACGGGGCGAGGCTGGCTGGCGGGGCAGGATGCAGAAGAGCTTCTACACACAGCACCTGCAGCTGCACCCTCAGCAGGAGACCCTGCCCTCCTGATGCAGGGGAGGCCAGGCTCGTGCCCTGTGTGGGAGGCAGGGATTCCTGTGTGGGCACCTCAGGGCCTGCCCTGTGCTCAGTGGTCCTGGTGGCAGAGACGGCTTATGTGGGGATGCATGTAGCATGCCCTACAAAGCACACGGGGGACATGTGGGTCCTGGCCAGCGAGGGACACACAAACCTGCACTTTCATCGCATACTCAAACCTGTGGGGCTTCCGAAGCCCAGTACAKGGTGCCTCTGGGCAGCTGGTGCCTTGAGGGCTGCACCGTGTGACATCGCCAATAGCACTGCCGAGCCTGTTGTGTGGGGACACACAGCCACCCCAGAGGCTGACTGKGTCCAGGTGGGGTCCAGGTGCCTCACTGGGGCTGTGCAGGTCATGAGCGGCTGCTGCGGGAGGGCAGCAGGCAGGACAGGTGAGCCCAGCTGTCCTATGTACATGGCGTCCGCTAGGAGGCGAAGCTCATGAAGGGGCACTGTGAGCCCAAGAAGGCAGACACAGCTCCAGGCTGCCAGCTAGAAAAGGTGTTTCTTCCATTTTATTTGATAATACATTTTCACAGAAACATGATATTATTTACAAATATACAAGTAAGAGACTGCTGGTCAAAAATCTTAAACTGAAAATGTCATCAAAAATTAATTTACAAAAGCCACCAACTGTCCCCAGAGTCCTGGGCGGTGAGCCTGGACGGTTCTGCCCCGGGCCTGCCAGCAGCAAGCTCTTCCACTCCGACTTCCGCGGCGGTGGCTCCGAGCTGCGGGCCACACAGGGCTCCGGGTCGTGCGGCAGGCTGGCTCCACGGCCGCTGCCTCAGGAGGCGCTGGTTTGCAGGTTTTTGGAAGCTGCGAGCATTGCTCTGACTTTGGCCATGAGATCCTGCACAGGGTGAGACAGGGACCTGACCACTGGGCGGGGAGTTCACGGGGACGGGGGAGCAGAGCCTACACACTGGCYGGAGGTGGCTTGGGAGGTTGGGTGTGGGCTGTGGGCACGTTCAGGCTGCACTGAGGCCAAAGCCCCCTCTCAACCTTGACCTCCGTCCAAGTCTCCTTTGCCATGACCTCATGCAGGTCCACCGGGGGAGGGTGCTACGGTGTGGCAGCCCTGGAAACAGAGACCAGGGGACTGCAGCCCCAGCAGGGCCTCTGCATGCTGCGTAGCCAGACACCACCCAGGACTCCCTCCTGGGTCAGCACGAGTGAAGTGGGAGCAGGAGTGGGAGTCAGGGGAGAGAAAACGAGGCCCCTTTCCAGAGACCAGGACAGAGGCCCAAGGGCCTGACTTACCTGAGTTATTTTGCTCTGCACTGAAGAAACGATTGCCGAAGAGATCTGACCGTCCTTTTCCTGAGAAACGCCCCTAAAGCAAAGACAGGGACTAGAGCTTGAACCTACTCTGTAGTGTGGGGGCCAGGGCACTGTGGGTGGGCGCCCTTACAGGCCGGCTTCCAAGGGTAAGCGGAGCTGCTCTCCTGAACACCAGGGCCGCGCGGGCCACGCAGTCAAGCATTTATACAGCGTTTGTATAAGGAAACTAGTTTGGAATTCATTCTCAGGAGAGGCTACGTAAACACATGGGACCAGAGGAACATGGGAGCCAGCAGACAGGCCGAGTCTCCACGGGCGGACCTCGGGGACTCCTGAACCTGCCCTGGCCCAGGCTCCTGCACTTGGCCTGTGGCTGCTGCTCCCTACATCGGAAAGCCGCCTGTGCCTCCTACGCCAGGCGTGAGCCGCAGTGCCACACACCCCTTCCCAGCCCGTTGGGTGTGGGGTGTGGCAGGGGTCTTGACTGCTGCGACCTGAACAAGAGCAGCTGCCTCATGTGAGGTCTGCCATCACCTGAGGATCACTACATCCAGGACAGGGACACTGGGTCTTGCCAGGGTTTCGTACCCTGACAACCAATTTGGACTGCTGACTGGTGGGGAGGCTAGTAGCCCTGACCCCTGTGACTGGTGCTGTGGCGACAGGAGCCCTGAGTTCCCTGGATGCTGCAGACCCCCAGTGCTGGTTCTTCCCGTCCCATGCTGGGACCTGCTCCCAAGGGCAGGTGCAGGACTGGCCAGTTAACATTCAGCAGCCTGAACCACAGGTACTCTTCCCCTGCAGCAGGGTCCTGAGAGGTCACTTGCCCTGCTGGCACTAAGCTGGGGCCACCTGGGGACCTCCTCTGCCTGGGGAGCAGGGGCTGGGATCAGCAGATGCACCCTGGGGCTAGGCCCGCCTGCCACCCACCCTCTCCCACTGAGCACTGCCCAGAGGCAGATCACCTGGAGCGCTCCTGGCTGGAGCCCCGGCTCTCCACAGGAGAGATGCTGGCCGAGTGTGCTGAGTGGGCTGCAGGCCGTAGTGCCGCCTGCTTACTCGGGGACGCTGACTGTGACCGCGCCTTAGCCTTGGTCCGTGACTGCGACCGCCTCTTCTTCTTCTTCTCATGGGGACTTCTGAAAGGAAAGTGCCCTGGTGAGACCCATGTTGAATGTGGCCCGACACATGTCTGTGGGGCACTGTACCCTGCAACCAGGCAGAGGGATGGACCCCTGGCTTGCGAGGCTTTAGGGAGGTGTGCAAAGCAGCTGCTCCAGTAGGCAGCCTGGCCTCGGGCAGGAAGCTGGCATCTGAGGTGTAGTCAGCATCTGACCTACACTGAGAGGCCCTTGATGGCCACGCCTCCAGTCTATGCTGTTCTCTCACTTATGCCAATTTAATGAGAATTTCCAAAAATATATGGAAAGTCATTAAAGTCAAGTATTGCAGACACAAAGGCCTGGCATTTCTTTTGGATGGCAGTTTTGGGGCATGTCCCTGGAGAAAGGTAGGTGCAGGCTGTTGGGCCCACTCCCTGGGGGGCCCCAGCCACATCTAGTGCCCAGCTCGGCTCTGAGTGCTGCTCCTGCTTCCCACAGAAGATAGGTCCCCAAACCCCCACAATTCCATGTCAGGCTTTCCAGACTCCCTGCCTGCACCTCCTCCTGCAGCTTGGGCTGGACTCAGTCCCTCCCACACCTGTGTCCTGAGACCCTTTCTATGACTTGAGAAACACTGAAAAAGACAAGGAGGTCACATTTTTGGTAAAGGCAGTGTGTGGCGTGGATAGYGCCGCTGGTCCTCCCTGGAGGCAAGGCCTTCTCTCAGCACCCTCTAAGCACCCTCGGAGTCTATGCAGGGACATCACTCACTGCCCAGGCTGGCTCATCCCTCCCACCGTCCCTCCTAGGCTGCCTCCTGGTGGCCCATGGGGTCTCCACAGGGTTTAGGGGCAGCAGCACCTCGCTGTCTGGCTTTGTCCCTCCTGGGGCCACTGCTGACACAGTGTGGCTGCCTGGCTCCCTCGGGATTCAGCATGGCACGGGGCCCTTTCCAATGTGGCCACCCCACCCTGCAGGGAAGGACCCCAGGGGTYGTCCAGACCCCACTTCATTCCAAGTCACACCCCTCATTCAGGCCGTTTCTGCTCAACAATAAGCAGAGTTCACAGTCTGCAGCATGTGACTCCAGAGGTGGCCCAGCAGGGCCACCAGCCTGAGGCACTTGGAAGCCACGAGTACCAGCAGTGCTTCTGGAGCTCTGGCAGCATAGGGCCCCCTGCGTGCCAGCCTGGGCTCCCTGGYAGCGTCCGGGGTGGAGCAGGCCTGGGGCCACCACGCTGCAGCGAGAGCCTGCAGCACAGTCAGCACAGGGGTGGCACGGCTGCAGAGGCATGGTGGCCAGGCACGGCGTGCACACCTGCCCTCCCAGCAACGCAGGAGGCAGGTGCAGGACAGCGAGCTCTGGGCCAGCCTCAGCAACCAGCAAGACCCTGTCTCAAAAAACAAAAAATAAAGAGGGCAGGGGCTGAGGCTGGGTGGCACGGTGCCTGGAGCCAAAAGGAAGGAAGAGCCGATGCTGGTGCTGGATGCTGTGGGCCGGGGCTCTCTGCTGACAGCCACTTAACACTGCACAACCGGGGAGCATGAGACCAAGGGCCAGCCAGATGACTGAGCCCCAACTCGGGCTGCTCTCTGTGGCTACAGAATGACTGAAAGGCGGCTTCTGGGCTGGCTCTGGCTCAGTGGCAGAGTACCTGCCAGGCACGCACCCTGGGCTCAAGCCCCAGCACCGCACCAGAAAGAAAAAGGGGCTGTGAGCACGGCAAGTCTCCAACAGGAGGAAAGCTGATGGTTCACTTCTGACACCACTAGGGCACTCGTGGCCATGGGCAGGGTCTTCCATGTGCTGTGTGGAGAGCCCAAGCCATGGACCAGACCCCACTGTCCCGGGGAGCCAGTCTGTGCCCACTCCAYCCCCAAGCTGGCCTCTGCTGTGCACCATGGCCTGAAGCCACGAGCATGGACTTCTGCAGGTCTGCTGGGCAGCATTTTGAGGCCCAGCCTGAGGGAACAGTGCCACAGGGCCATGTGTTCCTTCTCCTTCCTGTGACAGCCGGAGGAGCTGTCTGTGAGCTGCTGTGTGGTCAGTGCCTGGAATGGGCAGTGAGGCTGTGGGGTGTGTGTGTGAGTGCACTCTTTGCCTGCCAGCACCACTGAGCACATCCTGGCCACGTCACCAAGTCAGTCCAGTCCACCAACACAGCGGACACTGCCCTGGTCTCCAGGGCACTTTCTGGGTGACCGAAGAGGCCGAGCACCTCCCCTGCACTCATGGGCTCYGTACATGCTGTCCTGTGAAGCATCAGCAAGGCCTCTGCTCTCCTCCCAGTCTGGGACCTGCCCTCCCTCCCTCCTCCTTTCTGCTTCACATCTGTGGCCCTGGGATTGAACCCAGCTCCCCGAGCTGCAAACCCAGCCCCTTCCTAACACTTGGAGACAAGATCTTGCTAGGTGGCCCAGGCTGGCCTGGAACTTGCCATCCTCTTGCCTCAGCCCTTGAGTCGCTGGGCATGCAGGCATGGCCACTGTGCCCACCCGTCCCAACTGTGCCTCCTAGGGGAAGTTTCACTTGCAGTGGGTTCACAGGTTTTCCTCATAATGACAGCATTCTCTATATCCTAAGGAGCCTTAGTCACACGTGTTGTTTTCTTCCAGAAGCTCAATGTTCTGGTTTCTATGTCCAGTGTGGCGATCCCCCTTGAAGTAACTTTTGGGCAGGGTGTTTTTTTTTTTCCATTATGACACGCAGTTGTCCAAGCAAATTTTGTGGGAAGGTCTTTCCTGTCCTCCCTGAACAGTTTTGGCACCTTGGGCAACAATCGTGGCCATACAGGTAGTCACCTGGACCTCCTCCCTCTGCCCACACTGCTGTACTTTCTGGTAGTTTCTGAAATCTGAGGTCAAAGTCCTTCACTTTTATTATTTTCCCAGATTGTTTTGGCTTTTCCTGGTCCTTTGTGTTTCCATACAAGTTTTAGGGTTTCTGTGCCAATTTCCACAAAAAGCTTGGGGTATTTGCTCAAGCTGGACTGGGTCTGTGGGTCACTCTGGGGAGGAGAGCTCTGTCAGCATCTGCCAGTGTGCTGGGAAGGCCCTACCTCCTCCCCTCTCCCCTCCTGCTGTTGGGCGTTGAAAATGGAACCTGGCCCTCGTGCAGGCCAGGCACCTGCTCAGCCTGAGCCAGCCCAGCGCCCAGCCCTTGCAAGTGCACCCGGGGTCCTGAGAAGGCACTCAGAGTCCCTGCCTGCTTCAGGGGTCAGCTGTGATGACCTCGTGAGGTGAGTGGCAACTGTCCCCTTCTTTCCTGACTGTCTTGCTGGGGAGGCTGCCTGGCTGGGGCCTGGTGGAAAGCTTGGCAGATGTGACACTTCCAGGGGAATCTGATGTCAGTTTGGTCATCTGCTGATGACCAAATCTGATGTCAGTTTGGTCATTCTGCTGATGTCAGTTTGGTCATCTGTTCCTTTAAGGAACTTACTTTACCTAAGCTGCTGAATTAACTCTGGTGAGTTTCATTTCCTTGTCCCACAGGGTCTCCCATTCTGGACTCTTCCAGGGCTCTGTCTATCTCTGGTTCTGGTCTTTCTTGCATCCCTTCTTGTTTCTATTTGAGTTTGATTTGTTCCTTTTTCAGCTCCTGTTTTTGGTACCAGGGAATGAACTCGGGGGCACTCGACCATCGAGCCACCTCCCCAGCCCTATTGTGTCTCACTGAGTTGCTTAGTGCCTCGCTGTTGYTGAGGCTCGCTTTGAGCTCTCAATCCTCCTGCCTCAGCCTCCTGAGCACAGGGAGAACAGGCATGGCCACTGCGCCCAGATCCTCTTCAGGCTTCTTAAGCTCAACTGGATCACTGCTTCTACACTTTTATTTTCTTGTAACATAAATAACTTCCAACCGGGTGTGGGAGACTGAGGCAGGAAGATCCAGTCCTGAAGCCAGTCTGGGCAGCTTAGTGAGATTCTGGTATCTCATAATTAAAAGGACTGGGGATACTCCTGGGTTTAATCCCCAGTACTAGAAAAGGTAATTATTTAACTGCTCTTATAATTTTTTCTTCCATCAAAAGTGACCGTAGAGTTATATTGCTGAATTTCCAAGTGCTTGGGATTCTCCAGGTTCTTTAAGGGTCTATGGCGTGGTGCGTGGTGAAGGAACCTGCCTGCACCTCCTGGACCTGCCAAAACCACTGGGCCCAGGGCGGCTGCCACAGTGCTGTGGCTCCCAGGGCTGTGGCCCGGCTTCTCGCTCCCCTCTGGCTTCCTGGCTACTTCCTGGTTGCTGCTATGGGGACGACACTTCCTTTCATTATCAAGCTACCTTGAGGGAGGAGGGCCTCATGACCTGAGGCCCCTTGGCAGCTGCCACCTCCTGCACTTGCTGGCCAAGCACTCCTCTGTGGGCCGAGCACAGAGCCTCCTGCAGGTTCAATGGCAAAGCACCATCACTGTCATCTGTTACCTGCTTTAATAAGGCAGCCGCAACTCCCTGCTGAAGTGACTTCACCAACATCCCTGTGAGAGAGGCTTCAACAGTGTGCTCAAAACACTTCCTATGAATACTGTTCCACCTGGCCCAGGTGTGAACTTCCACTCATCACTATAAGGAGTCTCTCCTCGGATGGCTGAACCAGGGTGTAGGCAGGAAGCACCAGGAACAGCTCAGGCCAAAAAGCAGGAGAGTGCCTGGAGAGCAGTGGGAGGACGTGTCCAAGGAGGCAGGGACGGGTCCAGGGCTCCACAGCCTAGTCTGAAACAACGCACCATCCAAGAGTACAAGGCCAGGGGCACCCACTCAGCCGGCGAGGATGACAGACCCCAGGTCTAGGACCTGCGGTGACGTCAAGCGGGTTAAGGAAGAAGGGCGAGCAGCAACGGGAGTTGCTCTTGCCCAGCCACCTGCCTGAGCAGGCGCCATCCAAGTGCAACCCTAGCAGAGCTGCTGGCACGGGGTGCTGCGGGACCACAGGACACCCCAAAGACCTCTCCCTGATCCAGAAGCAGGCGGGAGTGACCTCAGCAGAGTGGGCTGACTCTACATCACTGACAAGGACAGACGGACATGTGTCTCGGGCGTGACACAAGGGAGTCTGCACAGCCGCACCCACGCAGGGTTGTTGCGGAGATCCTGGGCAGCACCCTGCCAGGGACAGCATGGGAGAAGCACCTCTGGCAAGGCTGTGGTCTGGCTTCCCCAAACATGTCAAAGCCACAACCCACATCCAGGTGTGTGGGGGAGCAAGGGATGCGTGTGGGCCTGAGCTGCAGAAGGTGGGCACAGGGGTGCTCGCAAGCCACTTGAAAAACCAGCCCCCAGGCTGACCATGCTCAGACAGGAACAGCTCAGGCCATGTGGGGGCACATGGAGAGCTACTGCCGAGCTCTGATGCCAGCTCTCAGCAATGCAGAGGTGTCCAGAGGGCTGTCCCTCTGCAGGGCTGCCGTCAGAACCCAGTCCTGGGGTCCTCGGAGCTCATGAGACCATGCCGGAAGGCCCTGGGCCTCCCACCTGTGCAGGCAGACCCTTAACCACCGCCGTCCATCACTCCTCTTAATGTAAAAATCAAGCTGAGGACAAAGTGAGAACTCTTGTGTTCAGAGATCTTTTGCTACAGGAATAGATTTTAGATCCTCTCCTCACGTGTCTGAGGTGGTAATAAATTTCAAGGCTCGCTGCTGGCTTCAGGAATGAGTTCCACATGCCAGGTAGCCGGGATACCTGGCAAGATCACCACAGCACAAAACGTAACCAGAGCGCGTGTGTTAGGGGGCTCTGACCCCGCCAGCTGGCAGCTCCTCTGCCTGTGCACCGCTTCAGGAAAAGGGGCTCAGGTTCTATCTATTAMGAGACTCCTAGCAGCTGTCCCTGGTGGTGGGCAGCAACTGGGCTCCAGATGTGCCCTGGGACAATGCCAATCAGYTAGGTGGCATGAGCTTGAGCCCTGGAAGGGGCTGCTCCCAGATAGCACTCCCCGTGGCCGGGAGGAGACTGTTGACCACTGCTGGGGGCCACTAGCATTCAGTGCTGGAATACCCCCCAGAGGCCCACAAGCTAAAGGTTTGCTTACCAGGATGGACCTATGGGGGGTGGGCGGCACCCCTGGAAGGGACGGGAGGATCCTCTGCTTTGGGGCATGAGGCCCAGTTTCTACTCTGCACTCCCACCGTGTGCTGCCTCACCACAGCTTGGGCTAAAACCTCCCAAACTGAGCCAAAGTAAACCTTTCTTTTCTTTTAAATATTTATTTTTTTAGTTTTTGGTGAACACAACATCTTTAACTTTTATTTTTTATGTGATGCTGAGGATCGAACCCAGCGCCCCATGCATGCCAGGCGAGTGCGCTACCGCTTGAACCACATCTCCAGCCCCAACCTTTTCTTAAAAGCTGTTACCTCGGGTCCTTGACCGGAGAGCAGAACTCTGCCTGAAACGAGCTGAGGCAGTCTGGGAGGGTGGCTTCCACGTCTGTTTTTATATCTTTTGGCATTGGGGGTGAACCCAGGACTCCATCTTGCCAGGGCTCAGCACACCCTGTCCTAAACGCGGATGCCAGCCTGGCTTTCCAGGAGCAGCTGAATCAGTGCTCAGGAGGCACCCACAGGACACTGCCCCTTTGGGAGTGGCAGCCTCAGCCCTGGCACCATCACATACTGCCCAGGCACCAACTCCCCGTGACACCCGAGGCCACCAGGTTGGGAGGTCTGCCCCTCCTTCTGTTCCTGCCGCTGGCAAGGGGGCAGCCGTTGTCTGTGGGTCCTGCTTCAGGGCTGTGCTGAGGGAAACCAGCTCCCAAGTCAGGCTGTGYGAGAGCCCCATGGAGGCCCCAGTGCTCCCAGTGACAGTGCTGCTGCGGAGACTACGGCCGTCATCCTAGGCAGCTAGTGACACAGGTGGACACAGCTTCAGACCCCTCTACCCAGGACACCCAAGCGGCCTACCTGGAGCGAGTTCGCTTCCTGCTGGCTCCGGGGCTGCTGCTCATGCGGTAGGCAGTAGGGACGCTCCTGTCTTCCCGCCGTCTCTCAGGGGAGTGAGCTCTCCTCCGAGGGGACCGGGAGCGTGACCTGGACAGAGTAACGTGGCATTCAGTTCCGCTGTCTGGTCCCCTGGTGTGCACTCTCTCTTGCCTTAGCCTGCAGGGTGCCCACAGCAGATGCCCACTCCGGCCAACCAGCTTCAGCCTCACCCAGGGAGGCAGATGCCTCTGCCCATTCCACAGCGCTGTACCCAGGTGCCAGTCTTGGAGACTACCACTGCCAAACACCTGAGGAGGCCACCCGGCCAGCCCAGAATGCTGGGCCTCCTTCCTCCTGCTCGAGGACTGGCGCTCACAGGCATGGCCCTCACCTCTGCAGAGGAAAGGCACTGGGTGCCCGGCACCCCAGACCTCATGGCCTGTGCAGGAGCAGGCAGGGACATGTCAGGTCTGCTGGCTCAGAGCCCCACCTTCGTCTTGCCCAGAGCATGCCGTGCTGACAGTCTGGGCTAAGTAATCCAAGTTCATGGGATTCATGGATGCAAAATCACCCCCGAATATTTATTGGCCCTTCCCTTGTGTCTAAAACAAGGTTCCTTCTATCCATGTCATGACATGATCCACACATAGCCAGAAAGACCCTCCAGACCCTTTCCCACTTGGGACAGCCAAGGTTAAAATGACATCTTTTTTTGGGATTTTTCACTGTTAACTCAGCGAGAGTACCATTTCAGGAAAAGTCTGCAATGAGCATATACTCTGGCAGGGGATCTCTTCTCTCCAGGCCTTCTCCATGACCGCCCATCCAGAAAAGAGATAAAGAGCAGCTGGATTTAAAAAGTTTTTCACTGAATCATTTTAATTATGGTAAAAAACCCAAAGCAACACATCACATGGTTCCGAAGACCAGCTCACTATGGCATCTACCCTCTGGTGTCAAGGGAAGCACCCTGGCCCTGATAAGCCTGCTCCAACATAAGGAGGATGCAGGGTTCTCTGCTGGACCTCTGGAAGGTGTTGTGTGTCGGAAATGTCCCTGGGCTCCCCCCAAGATGCCAGGGCCAGGCAGAGCCCATGACGTCTTGCCAGGTGCCCCACGAGAGCTCCAGTGGTCAGGTCTGCTGGAGGCCAGGCTGCCTGAGCACTCCTGCTGGGCTGCTGGTGCATCTGCTCAGGGCACACACTTCTCGTTCAGAGTATGTAAAGCTGGGCCGGGCACTACAGAATGGGGAAAGCATTCGGTTGAGCAGAGCCTTCACGCCTGCAGGATGCTGGACAGAGCTCTACCAAGCACTTGAAGATCAGGAAAGACGATGAGCCCAGTGCCTGCAGCCACACTCTTCAGAGGGAAGGGGCAGCTCCCAGCAGCCTCCACGACCTCGGGAAGGAGCCCCTTAGAGCTGGGCAATAGCCCAGAGCTCTCCAGGTCTCACTTTAAGGAAGGACACTTGATGCTTTCCATTCTGTCGAGTGGGCTCTTCACAGTGACATGACTCAGTGCCAGGAAAGGCACTCCACTTGTCAGCCAATCGTCCCATGTATCCAGAGACTTCAATGAAGGCAGATGTCCTTAACACTTCTTGCACAAATCCCAATGGTCTGTTCAAAAAATAAGGGCATTGGGAGACTTTCTCCAAGGATGAAATTCCAGAAGTTTTATCTGGATGCAGTGGCCACACTTGTAAGTGGCCTCTTTTCACTCCAGACCACCTGTGTGGGGTTCGCCTCACTGCTCACAGGTCTCGGCAACAGGTGACTCGGGGACTTGGGAGCTGGGGTCAGCCAGCCCAGCTCAACCCAACCACCAGGAGACTCCTGCCTGGCAGCTCCCATGCTGAGGCTGAGGTGCAGACGCCTGGCACCTGTGTGTGCTCACAGTTCACCTGACATYAGTGACCACCCAGGCTGGCATGTTAACCAGTGCCACCCGGGGCACTTTAAGCACCCGGTTTCTTCTTTAAAAAACAGGACTGAGACACAGAATTATCTTTTACTGTTTTGCTGTGCACTTTATCATGGGGAGTAAGGAGAGTAAAGATCACATCTAGGGCTGGGTTGTGGCTCAGCGGTAGAGCCCTCGCCTAGCATGTGCTGGGTTCAATCCTCAGCAGCACATAAAATAAATACATACATAAATAAGGGAAAGCGGGCTGGGGATGTGGCTCAAGCGGTAGCGCGCTCGCCTGGCATGCGTGCGGCCCGGGTTCGATCCTCAGCACCACATACCAACAAAGATGTTGTGTCCGCCGAGAACTAAAAAATAAATATTAAAAAATTCTCTCTCTCTCTCCCTCTCTCTTAAAAGAAATAAATAAATAAATAAATAAATAAATAAATAAGGGAAAGAAAGAGATATTGTGTCCTGTCAACAGCTATAACTAAAAAATAAATATAAAAAAAATTACATCTGATTCAACTTTGCCTACCTGAGTTATTTCTGAACATTAAATACAGTCGTTTTCAAAAAAGTCATATTAACCCCCTTAAGGTACATTGGGAGCTAACTTTTGGGAAAAAAAACACATCTTTACTGCACAGATCCTCTGCAYGGGGAAGTCCTGAAGACCTGTTCAGAACCCACGGCTGAGCCCCAGACACCAGAGGAACACCAAGGGAGCTTACCAAGGCTTATAGGCTAGTGGAGGATCAAGCACCAGCCTTGCTAATTCAGTGTAATGACACCTAACACTGAATTTTACACGAGTGAACTACATCAGTACTTCTTCCTTCCATTAAAACAGTGGACCTTATGAAAACACAGATAAAACCAGCTGCAGCACAGGTGAGGAAGTCTTACACGTCAGTCAGTGCTGGCTAAGATGCCRAGTATCACCTTGTCAAAACCAGTGAACGGGTTGGGCTGGGCCCAGYAGTAGAGCGCTTGCCTAGCACATGGAGGCACTGAGTTCCATCCTCAGCACCACATGAAGATAAGTAAATAAAAAATAAAGGTATTGTGTGCATCTACAACTACGAAAAAAATTAAAATAAACGAACAAAAACCAAACCAGCAAGCTTCTTGAGAAATAACAAATGGGTTTTGTGAAACTAAAGATTTTTGCCATAACTTGCCTCTGGAGGTCTGAAGCCACCTATGGCTGGGATGTCTTGAGTGACAGAGGCTTCAGCTAGATAAGCAGCCCACAAACAGACCTGCTGGGACAGGAAGAGCTTCCCAGTCTCACCCACAGCACCTTATAGGGGTTACCTGTCTCCACAGTGTGAACCTCAGCTGAAGCACCCTACCACAATCAGAAATGCTAAGAACTGTGGTGTTGAATTTTTTAATTTTTGATACCTCAGCCCCATCTCCAACTTTTAAAAAATTTTGAGAAGGGTCTACTAMGCTATTGAGGCTGGCCTCAAACTTGCAATCCTCCTGCCCCAGCCTTGCAAGTTGCTGGGATCACAGGCCAGGGCCACTGTGCCTGGTGTAGTATTGCACTTGGAGCTGGCAGAAGTTAGCACTTTCAATATTTTGGTTAAAATTTAGTTGTCTTTTAACACATCAATAATACATATTATGGGAGAGAACACCATCCTTTCCTATCTTATTTACAACTGTGGCTTTTGGTGGTGCTAGGGTTGGACCCAGGGTTGCGCACACACTCGGTAAGCACTCCACCACTGAGCCACACCCAGCCCAAGGACTGCAGTGTGTTAACTCCCCTCGGGCTCCAGGAATGGAGAGTGCTGGCAGGGCTCAGGTGGAGCCAGCAGATCTGCCCCTGGAACATGCCACTATCTTCTGAAGGAAGAGACGAGGCGGGGTCCAGGTGTGAGGGTCCAGGGGGGCGCCYGGACTGCCAGGCAGGAGAGGCAGTTACCGAGAGGCACTCAGCAGGTGCCAGCTCTGGGCACAGAGCTCACTGGAAGGCTTTGTTTCATGATATTATCACATGTACTTTATGATATGATAAAGCTGTTCTTTTCCTTGACTGAAACTGGCAGCCTACCATCGGACAGAAAGCATAATGAGGAAACGGCCACTTGCCCACCTCTTATCTAAGATGTAAACACATTAAGGAAGATCAAGTAATCCCCAAGTTACCGTGTTAGCACTCAGTCCATGATAAGGACACAGACCCACAGCCCTACAGCGCCTGTGCTGGGTGGTGCTCTTGGTCATGAGCACCCACCTGGGCACAGCCTGAGGCCAAGGAACACCACCAAGCTAGGAGGCAGGGCATGTGCAGCCCCAGGTGCCAGGTGCTTCACCCACACCACTTGTGGAGCCAGAGGAGAGCCCGTAGCTCAGATGGGCACGGGACCTTCATCACTGGCCCCYGAGCAGGGATCACAATGAATTGTTTTTGCTTGTCCGAGCCAGAGGGGAAGGAAACGGGGAAGAAATCCYTGCATGTGCTGCAGTGGGGCCTGGTCAACTCTGGCATATATTTTCAGTTCCGTAATGGCAAAAGGAACTTTTTCAATTTTTTAAATTTCAGAATTCCTGGGGCTTAAAAAAATATATCAAAAGTATGTTAGCAGGGCTATTAATTTAATTAAAAAATAACAATATTTGTATGTTTTTTTTTTTTTTGCTGGGTGTAATGACAGGAAGCAGATGATCAGGTCCACCTGTCAGGAAGGCAGGTCCAGGTCAACACAGACAGGCACACATAGGCCGCCAGGCCTATGTGAATGTCCTGGGCAGGGACACAGCATAGAGGCAAATGGGCATATGGTTTTCAACAGTTAAGAGTGCAGGGCATCTGCATTTTTCCTATGGGAGAGATGACAGCGACTCTAAAAAGAAACACCAGGCACCCGCAATGTGACAGCTGTGTGAGAAAAAATGTGACAGATCCAAAGGCATGAGCCCTAGGGATGGGCCATGCCCRAGCCTCTGGCAAGCTAGCCACAGCTGTACTTCATTTTAAGAGGTTTTACCAGGCAGTAAGCTCTGAGGCCCTGGAAGGCGCTGGCCCCAGTGTTTACTGCCTTCTCAGAACTGGATCCTGAAGAAGGCTCTGTTCAACAGTGGGATGCTGGGACAGCAGAGGGATTAAATGAGAAGACAAGTTTGTACTTCTGCCTCGTTCAAGCATGAACCAAGCAGCAGAGATTTCTTCTGTTCTGAAATTTGTACGCTCAAAAGAAACCAGGAGGGGACTTTCATACCAACAGGAGACCCACGCCACCCTGCGAACCTTCTCACACTCAGCACTATGCCAGGCCTGCTTTCCTGACCTGTTACAATTTAAATAAAGCTTTCACTTTTCCCTTTCTTCGTCTTTTTTTTTTTTTTTTTTGCTTGGTAGTAGTTGGTGATCGTTTTTGGTGCTGGGCACTCAACCCAGGGCCTCATGCATGCTTGGCAAGTGCTCTACCACAAAGCCACATCTTGGCCTGTCTTATTTACTTATTTTAGTCTTTATTTAATTTTTTATACTGAGAATTGAACTTGGGGTGGCTTAACCACTGAGCCACACCCCCAACTTTTTAATTTTTTTTAGACAGGATCCTGCTAAGGTTGCTGAGGCTGGAGTAGAACCTGCTGTCCTCCGGCCTTAGCCTCCCGAGCCACTGGGATCCCAGGTGTGGCCACCACGCCTGGCTGAAGGACTTATCTGCAGGACACAGACACCCACATGCACATTTGCCCAGGCACATGGGGCTGCAGCTAAGCTTTCTGCCCAGCTCTACTGGCACCAGCAGGAGGAGGATCCACAGACAGGAGGGCTTTGGGCATTGCCCTGCACACCCACCTCGACCGCCGCACTGTCCGGTAGGCACTGGGAAGCGCGTGCTTGGCTTTTGAGTGTGACCTAGACCTGGACTTGGAAGATGCATGATACTTGGGAGAGCGTGACCTAGTTCGAGACCGTTTTTTGTGCTTTTTCTTTTTCTTTTCTCTTTCTTCTTCTCTCGGTGKATCTCTGCTTTTGCTTGAAGGCCTTTCTGGTGGCTTCACTTCTAAAGTAGGCAGAGGTCTGCCTCCAGTCAGTACAGGACAGGGCACAGCACTGGCTTCCTAGGAACAGAAGCAAACGGGACAACAAGATGTTTTAGAACACAGACCACACGAGAGCAGCTCTGGGTCCCTCACACGCAGATGCCTTGCACTCTCAGGAAGTACTGCCTCTCTGAGAGCCCAGCCCTCAGGAGGACCACAGCACACACCTTACACCGAAAGGGCACACGGATCCCAGAGGCTCTTCCTGCACAGTAACTCCCCATCACAGTATTGAAGTCACTATGTTAAAAATTCTGTATTTGCTATTCAATGACTTTCCACTGAAACAGATTCTGTAAATCTCCAATACGAGGGTTTTCATAGATCCGAATGCAATTTTTTGCAAGTCTTAACCAGAGGAGGAGGTACCTCTTGGAGTGCAGGAAAACTTTGGGTGACAGAGGCATGTTCCAGGGTGCACAAGTCTCACTGCACTGCAGGGAGCCTCACAGCAGGAGCATGGCACCCAGATGTAGGGCAGCTGCCTCCCCAGAGGGGCAGCTGCATTTTCAGGCCACAGCTCAGCTGGAAGCAGATTCTGACCAAATGTTGAAGCCTCTAAAAACTTCTCACTTGGAATTCTACTGAGGGGCTTGTGGAATGTGTCCCTGGACACCACAGGGGCCCTCAACAGAGGCACTGTCAGCAGCTGGCTTGGCATTTGGGAATCTGCCTGGTGAGTGGCTGTCCTCCCTGGAGACCACCTGACAAGGGCAGTTGGGTGGGCCTCTCACAGGCCACTTCCAGAGCCTGCTTCTCATTGTAGCTCCGAGAGGAGGAGCCAGTCAGGGGTGCTCTGTGGGGCAGGCAATTGACTAGGATCCAACGGCCACTGGAGCTGGCCGCTTCAAGATGTGAGACCCTCTAGCCTCCCTGCCAGCCTCCCTGCTGCCTACACCTGGTGTGCATCTCTACATGCCTGCACACTAAGCAGAGGCTCCCAAGGCARTAGTGGCAGCACATGGGCTGGAGTCCCAGCAGGCTGTCATCCGCAGTCCGTTCTCATTAAAGGAACTCAGTCACCGGGGCTGTGGAGCACAGGCTTCAGATGGCCCCGCAGCCCCATCTGCAAGGTGGCTTCCGTGTCTATGTTTATGTGCAGGCTTATTTCTCTTAGATTTGTTTGTCGTTGGAGCACATTAGTGGGGTTCATCATGCCACAGACAGGCACATGAACATGATAATCTGATCAATCTCACTCCCCAGTATATTCCCTCTCCTACCAGGTTTGCTTTTTTTTTTTTTTTTTTGGTACTGGGGACAGACCCAGGGTGCCCCACCACTCAGCTACATCCCCAGTCTTTCATTTTGAGACAGRCTCTTTATTAAAAAGTCTCTGAGGCTGGTTTGAGAACCTGTAAGCTTCTTGCCTCAGCCTCCCAAGTCTCTGGGATCACGGAGTGGCCACCATACCCAGATAGTAAGGAATTTTCTAATATCTCCAGGGACCATTTCTCAAGGGAACCCATTTCARCGTGGGCCAGTTCTTGTCAAAAAGATCTTTCTCACTCAAATTCTATTAGAATAATATTTTTTTCAGGTTTAGTATAAAACTATCTCACTGTTACAAGAGTTTAATATGTAAACATTCCACCGCACACACACACTAATAAATGATGTTTTAAATCATAGGCAGCTGCTTTGCAGCTTCACCTGTGTCCCCCGTGTGCACAGCCACAGCATGGTGAACAGGTGGAGCGCAGTACCTCTCAAGGTGAGCAAGGGGGAGGCAGGCTGGGTGTGGGACAGCTCGCGGATGCTGGACTGCCAGAAAAACCAGCTCTGTGCCCTTCAGAAAGGCCAGCAGTCTCAGAGMGCAAGGAGTGCACCCTGCATGAGATGTGCGAGCCCCCACTAACCCTGACGGCACTTGAGGCTTCCTAACATGTGCCAAAGGCCATTCTGAAAGGAGGGATGGGGCTTCCCAGAGTGCAGCATGTCACTCCTCACCCTCTGCCCTCACACCAGGTGGGCAGGGCAGGGGCACGAGCTGCTTGACAGCAGCCTGCCAACCTCTGTCCCACTGAGGCTGCGGCTTCACTGAAGGGAGGGGTTGTTCTGAAACGAGACCTTCAGGATACGAGCTGAGGGTCTACTTATTCTAAAGAGATGGTTGTCCTTCCCTGTTAAGGTGGAAACAGGCAGCCACGGTGGCCTCTCAGCAGCCCTAGCCACTGGCAGGTGAGCAGAGCTGTGTCTGCGTAAGTGGCTGGGGATTCGGACAGGCGCTGACGTGTTATCACAGCCAGGTCCAACTCTACGATCAAGACTTCACAACTGTTGGGATTCTTTTTTTTTTTTTTTTTTTGAGACAAGTCATTCTGTGTTGTCCAGGCTAATTTCCAAGTTCTGGGCTCAAATGATCCTCTAGTCTCAGCCTCCCAAGTAGCTGGGACCACAGGCACTGGTGGGCTCGAAAACTGCAGAGAAACATCAAGGCCGAATCAACACCTAGTTAGCTGCTCCTTCTAGGCTTTGCTGCAAAAGCTGGTCTGTCCTTGGTGAGTGCAACCACAGGCACCACATTCAACACACGAGGCCACCGTACCTGATGTGGCTAGCAACACAAAGGATGGAATCCTCACTCTGCTTGATGTTAATCAAATCAGTCAGTGTGGCAAGAAACCCCATACTGTAGTGTACACCCAAAAATAACTGTCAACGTCAATGACAACTTACACCGTTTAACATTTACACTGCCTTATTTAAGAATTCCGGATTCCCAATTGTCTTAACCAAAACTACTCTTAACTGGGTGGTAGTGCACAACTGTAATCCCAATGACTGGAGAGGCTGAGTTGGGAGGACCACAAGTTCCAAGCCAGTCTTAGCAACTTAATAAGACCCTGTCTCACAGTAAAAAGTGAAAAAAAGGGCTGGGGACTTAGCTCCATGGAAGAGCACCCAGGGTACAACCACAGTATGGAAAAACAAGACAACCCCCATGCCCGCTCCCCTGCCAACTACACATATGAGCAACTGGAGGAAAATTAAGTGGTCACTATCTAAGTCTGGACCACACCCCAACCCAGTGCCAGCACTGCTGCTGCTTGGGGTCTGAGGGTGCCTGGCCCAGCCTATGGAGAGTGGCAAGCAGAAGCTGCCCAAGCCACAGAGGCAAGGTTAGCAGCTGCTGCACTGACTCTTCATGGGTCTCCCAGGAACTAAAGCTGCCTTTTCAGAAAGGATTGTAACACTCCAGCAAAAATGACCAAAGTTGGGGTGGGGATGTGGCTCAAGTGGTAGCGTGCTTGCCTGGCATGCATGGGGCGCTGGGTTCGATCCTCAACACCATATAAAAATAAAATAAAGATGTTGTGTCCACCAAAAACTAAAAAATAAATATTAAAAAAAATCTCTCTCTCTCTCTTAAAAAAAAAAAAAAGACCAGAGCCCAAACTATGACCAGACACAGGCTGGGGCAGGTGTTAAACAAGACCTGGAGGAATCATGGAGGACTCCTGCATAAATCACTTATGAACACGGAATACCCACTGCCCACGCCCCACAGGCTGACAAACCACAATGGGTGCTCCTGGACCTGCACTGCCTGCCTCCTGCACCTCCCACCATCCTACCCACTCCACGGGCAGGTGTGGCCAGGCTACTCTTGGCTGCCATGTGTGCTCAGCATGCTGGGTGCCCCACAAACTGCTGGCCACTGCCACCCCTTCCAGCTTTGCCCAAGTACTTCACCCCTGGGCAGCTGGCCAGAGGCCCAGGCTCACCACCACCCCACTGCTGGCTGTGTACACGGGACAGCACGGCCGCTGGTCCACATGCCCACAGCCTCAGACCCTGAAGCCCACAGGCTCGCAAACAGGTTGACTTCTATCACCATTTCCTTTCCAAGTTCTATTCGACTGGACTAACAGCATAAAAAGAATTACTAGAATCCCAAAAGCCCTAAAATGTTTACGACTAGTACTGACTAGTAGTAATCCAAAGGGTGAGCATCCACGACCCCTGTCTTTGTTTCAAGAAGACAGACACACACCAAGAACAAAGACAGTCCACGCACAGGCTTGTGGGTACCAGTGTCCTACTGACACCAGTCTGGGCCAATGTGCACACTGTAAGACAGCATCCCAAATGATATTCAATAAGGGCACTTTTCTTTCTTTTAAATTTTTTTTTTTTTTTTGGTACCAGGGACTGAACCCAGGGGGTGCTCAACTACAGAGCCCAGACCAACCCAGCCTACAGCACACTAAACACAGGGGAGTGCTTGTCCTTAAAACACGTGAGCAGCACTAGGGCTGCTCCAGGGAGCCTGAAGACAAGGCAAGAGCACTGCAGCCAGGCCGTGTGCCCGGCCTTCGGAGCGTGTCTTCCCCTCCTGGCAGGGTCCTCTTGCACTCAGTGCCTGCTCAGCTGGTCACAGCTATGGCCATCTGGCAGTGCCTCACACTGCCTCACCTAGGGGTACCAGTGGCCACATCTGGTCCTGTCTCAAGTCCCCTGGGCTCTAGACACATACATTTACTATCTGCAACTGTGGGGATGGAGCCAGCAAGTGCTCACACCAGCCACGTTCCTGGTTCCCCCTTTTGTGGTTCTGGGGATGGAAGTGGGAGTGGTTGGCCATGGAGCTATGCAACCAACTCTTCATATTTTTTTGAGACGAGGTCTGGCTAAGTTGCCCAGGCTGGACTTGAAGTTGTGATGCTCCTGCCTTGGCCTCCTGAGTCAYTTGGATTATAGGTGTGTGCCACAATGCTCGGCTTGGGCTAAATACACACACACAAAAWTTTTTTTTCCTTTGTGGTGCTAGGGCTTGAACCCAGGGCCTTSGGCATTCGAGGCAAGCGCTCTACCAACTGAGCTCCATCCCCAGACCCAGGCTAAAAGTATCTTTGAGCTTGACTCTTGCTCATGACAACTGTCAATTCAATTACAAGTACCTCTGCTTCAGGGCTACTGAGACAGCCATCACCATCTCCAGATACCACTGCATCTATGCTGAAAAGGCTCAATGGCTGTGAGCTGAAGGACGCCTACCCAGGAAGAGCCACCCAAAGATCTGGACACTCAAATCACTTCCACGAAGCACAGCCCAAACCAAGATGAACACAGGAAGACAAAAGGCCCCGTAGAGGACACGCTGCGGGGAAGGGACACTTCTGGCAGCTGTGACTGTGTTCCCACTAGAACACCATGCCCTGGAGCATTCTGGGGCTCGAGTACAACACAACTGGCTCGAGTCTCTGCCTGCAAATGTCCCTCGGGAACCCTTCCCTCTAGTACATGGACGGGAACACAGGCCCCATTTTAAACCAGCCCCCCGCAGCCCTGCCATCAGAGCAGCTCCCGGTTCTCTTGGGCTTCTCCCTCCCGTTGCCTGCACCAGCTCCTCAACTCACCAGGAAGTGCAGGTGCCGCACCTCCTGCTTCTCCTCGGAGAGCACCAGAAGTACCTTAGCGTCAGTCACTGCCTGACAGCCTTCAGGTGGTGCCTACTGTTCCCTCACCAGAGCCAGAGACCCGCRGGTACAGGCCAGTCTATGGAGAACTCTGAGGAAGGCAGGGGACAACACCCCTCAAGGAGCTCATGCCAAAATGGTGCTGAGGACCGAACCCAGGGGCTCTGCCACTGAGCTGCACCCCTGTCCTATTCTCAGACACCTTTGAAATACGATGTAAATACCAAACAAGACTCAGGTGGGACTGCTATAAAGCATCTGAAAGACAAGACTTGGAGCTGGGTATGGCTCGGTGGTAAAGCATTTGCCCTGACTCGACCCCTCACACCACGAGAAGGCTCCCCAATCACCAAGCGACTGACCGAAAAATCACAATTTAAATGATTCTAAATCAATGCATCTGGGAAAAGAGCAGATCTCTTGCTGAATGCTATGGCCACACTGCCTAAGTCATCAGGGTATGGAGGTCCCTGGTCCCAGTGCTGTTCCAAGCTCCTTCTGCAGGGGAGGCTCCTAAGCACCATGTCACATCCTCGCTGGGGCTGAGTCCCTGGCCACACTGCTTGAAAAGCAGCTGTCTATGCTCACACAACTTTCCCCCTGTGGTGCTGGCTATGGAACCTGGACTGGGAGCACATCTACCTCAGYCCAGTGTGAACTCCCTGCCCCAGCACAAGCTCGCAATGTGCCTGATGCAGCTAAGACTCTGCTTCAGTTACGAGTCTGACCACCTCCCACCACAGACCCTGTGCAGCCCCCACAAAGCCCTCCTGTTGGCCAGCCCTTGAGGTGGCCAAGAGCAGAACATCAGACGGCACCTGGGGTGGACGGCACACGTGCACTCAGGGCTGTCAGCAGGCTCATGGCTGAGGCCCAGCCTCACAGGAGGCAGGAGCTGGGCTGCCAGCACCTCCCTCTGGTTGGACACTGCAGAGTTGGGAGAGCCCGTGATCATATGATTTCACCTACCAAACTCTCCAAGAACACCAACACGGACTTTCTTCAACATACCTCTACACTGAAAGGACTCTCCTCAATCTTTCCAACGTCTGCTTCYGGCAGAGGATTTTTTAAAGTTTGCAAAAATAAGGCTGCTTTCCTTTTTCGTTCTGCCTGAAGCTGCTTCTCCTTCGACTCCTTGGATGCCTGGGCCAGTTTTTCCCGGGCAGCAGCAGCAAGGCGGTCCTCCAGCTTCTGCTTTGCTAAAGGAATGGCAGAGAAAAAAAAAAAGAGTCTAGAACAAGCAGTATCATATCTTACTGTCTTAACTCCCACACAATGCAGCTATGATCATGACACCGATTTCAGAATCGGCAGACAGGGCGGGCAAGTCACAGTGGCTTGTTTTGAGGAGGGGCACTCTGCTTTCAAAGTTGGCAGGCTGGTGGGTTCCAAACCAGCAGGAGCTCCAAGATGGCTCTGGCTTAGTGCAACCATAACAACCCTTGCAGACAGGACACTCTCTGAAAAGCCTTGCTCCATGTGACCCAACACCTGTTGAGCTCATGTGCAGGAGGTACAGGTTTGGATGTACAGACCAAGCACAGCTGCTGGGGTTGGCAGCTGCAGTATGGTGCCAGCTCCTGACAGGAGGCCTGCTGTGGCCAAAGAGCTACCTGTTGGGGGTGGCCTGACCTGTTTGTGTACACAGAAAAGGCAACTCAAGAGAGCCAGTCAGAACAGACAGAGACCACAAATATAGACGCTATTTAACTACTTTTATGCAGAACTTCATTTATTTGGGAGTAGGGGCAGGAAGATTTATAGGAGATCCCCTAAATGCTGCTGGTCACGTGTCAGGTATGCAGGGGCCACGCTGTAACCCATGAAGATGAGCTGGAGCTGAGAAATCGGCTCCGAATTGCATCATCTTCAAGGGCGATGGTTCTGCTGAGACAGCCTCACAAAAGGCAGCTCCCAGCTTGGTGTGTTAATTYGGGCTGGGAGTCCAGGCCAAGCACATCACCCCAGGGCTGCTGTCAATGCACAAAGTGGGCCTCCATTAGCGCCATCTACTTGGTGCACCAGACTGCTCTGAGCACACCGCCAAGGGCACTGTATCCAAAGCTACGGAGGAGCAGAGCGCCTGCTCCAGAGGGTGTTCAAACACTCAGATGTGCTACGCCAACCCCGTGGCTGGGGGGTCCAGGTGGCAGCCTTGGAATTTCTGGCTTAGCAGACAAATCTTATACTTATCTCTTTTCTTTCTTTTGAGAACTTTAAAGCTATCGACAAACCTTGCTTTGCTTCTAGCTCCTCCTGGGTAAGCGGGGGCTTCTTTTCCTCGACAACTACACAAGGCGGGGCTGTGGCCGGGCTAGCGTTGGCGGCACTACTAGCACTTTCTTGGCCTTCTTTGCTTTCTTCATCATCATCGTCACTGTCATCATCTAGCTTAACTCGGTTTTTTTCCAAGGGAAGTAGATCATTTTCTTTGGCCTTGATTGCAAAGCTTATTGGAGCAAATGAAGCTATTGAGAGAAGGTGAGAAGTGGACACATTTTTAGGGAGCGAGCGCGCAGAGCTGAACCGTCCCGGCCCTAACACTTACTTAGGCGTCGGTGGGTGGGAGGTAGCATCTGCAGTGGAGCCACATCATATGCAGGGCTCTGTGGGCGCAAGGGCCGTCTCAGGGCCCAAGGGTGCTGTTTGACACCTCTGCGCTCCCAAGCCATGTTCAATAGGGGCAGCTCACACTGGACTCACAGGTAAGTCAGGACTGATGGGGCCTACGCTGAACAGAGGTCAGCTAGGGCCACAGCAGGGACGCTCCTACTGAGCACCAGTTCAGGGTCACTTGCCATTTTAAATGATCAAATCATTTTTCTTTAAWTTTTTTTTCCTGGCTCAGCATGTAACAATCTGCACAAGCAGGCATAGGATGCGACTCCACTAGGCAAGGATCATCTTTCAAAAATCCCAGCTGTAAGACACTGTTCTCACAGAGCAACAGTCACAGAACTCATCCATTTACTCAGCCACCATTTTGCTGGGTACCACGTCAGCCCAGGCTCTGCCCCTACAAGGAAGTTCAAGCCAGGCAAAACAAGAGTCCAGGTGATGCCCTTTCCCTAGAATATGGGAAAACAAGAGAAACACAAGCTCAACAAGAGAGCGTGGTCCCAGTCCCCACCCGCCGGGGGAGCACTGAGCTCCGCCTCCTTGAGTCAAGGCCAGAGTGGGTTACAAACAGCTCACCAATAGCTCAAGCTGCAGTCAGARCCTGGTTTCTAAACATGGTGAGCTACTGCCTATGAGGGACACAGGTAAGCCACAGCAAGGGGCTTCCGTGAGCCTCACGTGGCCCACACTCATGTGTGGTGCGAGGACAATGAACACTGAGCTGTGCTGCCCAGCTCTGCGACACACAGCCACTGTCAGCAGTCATCCTGGTCCAATGCTGAGGGATGGGTTTCCCATGCCACACTGGAAAAGCCACAGGAGGGAGGCTGCCTCCTGTGCCACGTGGTGTCTCTCTCCATTCCTGACACCTGGCAACTGGGGCACCACAGGGCACTGAACCCAGGCTCTGTGGGGATAGGCAATCTTACTATGGTGTGGCTATGTTTAAAACAGCCCTCCTCTTTTAGAGAGATGTGTGCATCATCTGYGGGGACTCTGGAGTGGAATCTAAGATGCGGCCTGGGGCACAATGTAAGGTCTCACCCCTCTCTGCCCCTCTCTCCAATGCACTTGAAACAAAGTTAACAAAGCACACCCTTTATTGCCTGTGGGAATGCAACCTTTCTAAGGAACAAAGAATTCAGGGGCATTTTAAAGGGGGAGGGGAAAAAAAAGCATGCACATTAAGCGTTAATTAATGGAATCACTCAAGCAGACTAGGATACACACAAAAGGATTTTAAGACAATTGCGGCAGGCCTGGCCACCTCTTCCCTCAAGCTAGAAGAGGAAGCAATCAGTAAAGAGACCATTAGGATGAAAGCCCTGGAGCTGCCTTTCAGCACGGTTCACAGGCAGGGCCACAGCCAGGCACAGTGGGGAAAGAGACTTCCTTCCATCCAGCAGCCTCCATCCTTGCCTCCCTCACCAAGGCTGACACCCTGGGGGAGGACGGGGCTCCCAGTTCCCACATGAGAGAATCAGCCCTGGGCTCGCTCAGTTACAGGGAGGCTGCTTCTGCCTAGGACTCTCCAGATCATAGCAGATGGGATCACTCCTGATAGCCCCAAGGAATAGTGGGGCACCCCGTCACACACCAAACTCGCTCCTCCACAGTGTCAGGACCTGTGCAAGTAGGCCCGCCACAGTGCTTCCCAGGCAGGCACTGCTGCCCCAGCTGAAGTGGAGCAAGCCACGCAGCAGGCCAAGGCAGCAGGCAGAGCGGGGCCCAGGGAGCCTCCACTTCCTGTTCCACAGGGCTTCTGCTCCAGGCATCAGCTATCACGCCAAACTGCGGCCCAGAGGCAGGCGGGGGTTCTCTGGGGCGTGGGGAGAGCAGAGTGAACAGAGGCAAGTCCAACTGCAGCTCAGGTAGGTGTGGCAAACAATAGGACATGCTCCGCCGGGTGCCATCCCTGCCCACCTGGCGGGCTCCAGTGCCCCAGCAACGTCCCTGCACACACGCGTGAGCTCCCACCTCAACAGGCTAGAGCTTCCTGGTGTGGATGCATCAGCTGACTTAACGATCTCCAACTGCTTTTGAGATTTTATTTTTTAAATTTTGCTGCCCAGGCTGGTCCCAAACAGTCCTCTGCCTCAGCCCCCAGAGTGTCCAGGCTCACCACCACGCCTTGGGAATACTTTGTAACTACCACTCTGAGAGGCCAAAGCCAGTGTCTTTTTAAAGAGAATATAAAAAATCTATTAGCTACCTCGCTTTCTTCTTTTCTGAACTATCTTTTCTTAAAAATGTCCTTTATCCATTTCCACGGTAAAGACATTGATCCTTTAATTAACATTGACTACCATTTAAAATTTTTAATATATATATATATATATTTTTAGTTATAGTAGGACATAATACCTTTACTTTGTTTATCTATCTTATGTGGTGCCGAGGATTGAACCCAGTGCCTCCCACGTGCAAGGCAAGCGCTCTACCACTGAACCCAGCCCAGTGCCCAACCACCACCATTTTGACATGGTCTTGACTCTCCTCAGGCCCAGCSCCCATGAGACCCACTGACCCTCCTTGTGGTTCATGGCTTCAATCTTAGAAACCCTTTCCCACCCCAAGATCACCAAAGCATTACCTGTACTTTCCTCTCCTCAGTTTTACCTCCTACCCCTAACTGCTGGACTGAAATGAAACCACTACTGTTGGAGGCACCGTGATCTGATTTGACTTCTTTGTGGGGGTACAGGTACAGCCTGCTTTCCCAGCTGCATTACTGCTGAACCATGTGGAATTTCCAGAGCATGCTCTCAGTATCATGAGATACGACYGGGAAGCCTGCCCTATCGACAGGACACCCATAGCAGGGGGCAGATGCGGCACCACYCTGGGCTCCTGGGACAGGCCCACTGCACCACGGCAGCACCTATGCTTGCGGTGGCTGTGGAGAGTAACTATTGCGCCTGAGCGCCAGTGGTACCTGTCTTCCTGGGTGCTCAGGAGCAGCTCTCCTGATGCAGGCATCTGCTTCCTGAGGGGAATCATACGGGCCTTTAACTTGTCCTGGCCTGCTGCCTACTTCTAGAGGCAGCTCACCCACCACTAGTTCAACTTTTAGGCAGACACATCTATGTCAGCTTCCTTCATTTCTTGACATGATTTTAGCAATTTATGCTTTTAATGAAAATGGTTCTGTGATTTCAAATTTACTCAAATCTTAGTTCGCATACACTATGCTATGTCCTCAAGGACACCGAAGTCTTCCTCTCATCCGGGTGCATCTGCTCCTCCCTCCACTGAGAGCAGTGACTATGTGCTGCTGGTGTCTCTCACAGGCTTTTCTTACTGCTCTCTAACTTGCACCCACTGCCGTGCCGGTGCTTCCTCCATCCTGGTGCTGGGACCACCCTGGACCCTGCAGGCGCAGCACTCCCCCTTCTGAACCACAGCCTGCTTCCAAGGCCCTTGAGTTCAGTGCTTGCTTTGTGTTTATTTTTGGTTTGCCAGCACAGACAGAGCAGGCTGTGAACAGAGCAATGTTCTTGTTCTTACTTTCGTGGTCCTATGACGCCAAGTGCTCAGCGCCCCCGTCATTCTGCTCTAGCACTCAGACCGCTTTATGGGCTCTTCAGATCTGCTTCAACTGCCCACATGCAACGGTACCAAGTGTGACGCGCCGATCTGTCCCCCCTTGGAGAAYAGCCCACCTGCTCTTCTACCTGGATGCCTCTTCTGTCTCTTTCCTTTGAGATTTCTCAGAAAACCTAAAGGTGTCTTCTCACCCAGCCTGGTCCTTGATGCCTTCTTCACATTAAAACATGGCAGTTTATTTCCAAACCATCTTACAGATGTGAGATCATCAGGTGCACTAGCTTGATATTTTCACCTCCGTGGAGTACAAAGCAGAGACGTTGACATCTCTCCTGTCACGGGGGTGGGGGTCCGTTTCAGGGACCCACCAGTGCCTTAGCAAGCTGCAGCTTTCTGTCCCCAGCCTCACAGGGGGGCCTGTGTTGTCCAGGACTGAGCTGGGGGTAGAAAGGAAGCCTGCAGGTGGRCGGCAAGTGTGGGGAGCTGCACTGGGCTGGGCAGGCCAGGTCTCGGGTATCCCCAACTTGTCCAAGCCTCCCGCCTACCCCTCTTCATTGACAACGGCTTCCCCAAAACCACTGCTCAAGTCCCAGCGTGTCCTTTCCTTCCCTACAAACCACACCCCAGGAAGGTGGCTTCCGATCCGGGGACAGCATTCCACCCTGGTTTCTAGAGCAGTGGCCGCCACTACCCAGCAGTCTAGATGTTTGGTTATTCCAAGGAGAGTTGAAGGTGGCCATGACATGCGTGAGCTTCCTTGGAACAACTGGGTTACTCTGAATGACCACCACCTGCTCCCCACTGCACTGCCCACCCTTCTCCCCACTAGGAGCTGCTGTCACTGCGCCTGCCTCTGCACAGCTGTGCTCCAGGCCCCGGTCTCTCACAGCCTCCAAGGATGCCTCTGCCTGCATCTCCTTGGGAAGCCACTGAAGGATGAGGCCATCCCCCAGCAGGCCCGGGGCCTCATGGGAGGACAAAACAACGAGCTGGCTATCCTACTCCAGACCCTGTCTTTGTCCCTGGATGCTGGAGTCACTCAGACACTCTTCATTGGGACAGCAGGTGGCCAGCACATCCCACAGCAGCACCACTGTGAACGGATCCTCTCGATACTCATCAGGGGAACAGCTGCCTCCCCACTTCTGCTACGTGGGGCTCTAGGCAGCCTGCTCCGGCTCTCTCCTGGTCTCCACAGCACCAGCCACTCACACGCATGTGTGTCCTGCTGGACCAAAGGCTCCAGGGAAGAGCAAGGTGACTAAAAGCAAGAGCGCATCGTGCTACCTAGAAAAGGTACTCAGAGGGCTGCTTTGACCAGGAAAGAAAAGGGGTTTCTCGGTGCAATGGTTTGCAAGCAAATATAATTTCAGAAGTCTGAGGGGGATGACACATTATTTAATAATTCATAAATATTTCCTCTGAATTGCTCCAAACAGGCTGTTAAGCAAATGAATCCCCAGGACTAACTCATGGTTCACAGGACTCCAAACGCCCAGCCAGGAGAACACAACCCAGCAAGCCCCACCCTGGCCTGCACTCCAGGCCAAGAGGCTCTCCTGCAGCTCAGCGGGGCCTGCGAGCAGCCGCAGCAGCGCACCTTTTACCAGCTTCCCGTCCGCAGCGCTCTTACTGGACGAAGCTTCCTTCTTCCCGCCTGAGCTTCGACCCCCTGCCTCGCCTGTGTCCTCGGGCACGCCAACCTCCCCAGTCTCGCCTGGCTTTTCAGGAGCGGATTCTGCAGGGGCCTCTTCTGGGGCTGCCACAGCCTGGGGAGAGTGACATCACAACACACCATTACACAGAAATCACATGACATCTGTCAGAACATGAGGGACATCACACAGTCACATTTTTAGATTTCAAATTTGTACTCGATACTTTCTGACACAGTAGGCTGAAGAGGAGTGGAAGGAGCTCCCCCAGTGCACGTGGCAGGGTGCTGCTCTGTCTCGTGGACTGGGCGGTGGCACCTGTCCTGTCAGAACCCCACTTTCCCTAGGGCCTACTGGGAAGCCAGCGTTCTTTCTTGTGAGCAACTTGAGATAAAGGCTGAGAGGAATCTGCAGAAGGCAGGGGGACAGCAAGGCAGTGAGGACGACAGCAGGGGGCTCTGTGAGGAGGGCGGGCCATGTGGGCCCTGTGCTCGCTCTGGGAGGGCGGTTCCGTTTCACAGGCTCATGCGCAAGCCACGCAGCTCAAATGTCAGTGCACACTTCCACCTGAGCAGACAGGAGTAGCACCACCCAAGACCACAGGCCGAGGAAGCAGGGGCTTTTGTCTGGCATGTGTTGGACACAGGCCCACGGAGAGCTGAGTGGTGGCCACACAGGAGACACACAGCTGACCAGCACGGGCTGCCACACTGGACAGCGAGCAYGTAGGCAGCGACTTCTGCAGCCCCACGTGGGCTTCACGCCCCTGCCACTCGGGACACGCACCTGTGTGCCTTCACTGCCTTCTTTCTGGAGGAAGAACTGCTTCTTAAACTCATAGTAGGCATTGTATTGGTGCCATGGCTGCAGGAACTCGAATCTGTGAAGAGAACAAACACAGGCCACTCAACACACCGCAGCAGCCTCTCTGAGAACCTGTGTGAGCTGCGGCCTCTTGCTGCTGGACGCAACCAACTCCCATGGGCATCCCACCCATGCCACACGCCCACAGCATAGGCACTGCCACGTGGGGGCATCGCTCAGGTTCCACCACTGGGGGCCAAGGGACGAGACTGGATTTTATGGAAAGGCTCCTGTCTAGACCCCAGGGCAGGCCCCCGGCAGAGGGAACCCAGCCTTTCACCTCAGGTGGCATAGACATTTCACTCACTGTAAGTAACTCTCAGTAATTTGACAAGCCAAGAAAAAAAGTCTATCCAAAGACACTGAGCCAAGAAAACGGGAAACTACATGGCTGGATTTTTAAAAGACCTAAATGAAAACCCCAAATCCCATGCACTGAATTTGCTTAGAATTCCTTTCTTTTCTGATGCCGAGGATGGAAGCCAGGTCTCGGGCATGCTAGGCCAGAGTTCCGTCAATGAGCTGCAGCCCGATGCTTAAAACTGTACCTCTCACCTCTGGTCATTCTTGGCACGAACGCTGGTCTCAAATTTAAGGCCATTCCTAGCCACGTACTCCGCCAGCTTGTCAATCACAGGCTGAATGTCGGGGGGTGGGGGGATGATGGCGGCCACGGGAGCAAGTGCACTGTGGAGAAAGGCCTGGTAAGTCACACACTCCCCAGCGGCTACACTGGGCCAGCACTGGTGGCTGAAGGTCCTCTTGGTCTGGGTCTCGCAAGGGGCGCAATAAATACAGGTGTTACAGAGAATACACGCCAGGGGCCCTTGCTCTGAAGATGCTGTGTTCTCCAACCAACAAAGCCAGTGCTCTCACACCGCGACCAAGGTACCATGGCCTATAGCGACAAGGAGCCTCACTGGGGAGCCAGACACAGAGCGACAGAAACAGGTTTCATTTTCTTCTTAATTAAGGCTTCCCTTCGACAAGGAGCTAACTCTAGCAACAACCAAGAGTACATCACATGCTGCCTTTTTGTTGCTAGCACGACTCGACCTTTCACCTCCCACTCAACCTCCTCAAGAGGACAGGCCACTCTGCAGAAATATGCAGGTGYTGCCTGGAGCCCACGCACCCTTACTAGGGGGTCTCCCTAGAAAGCCACAGTACCATGGCTTTCGAGGGCCTCAGGGTATGCCCCAGGGCTGCATCACCAACCTCTTGAACCTGCACAGTCTGCAAACAGTTGCCGCTCCCAGAGGGTTAGGGTTAGGGTTAGGGTTACAGCGCCAGGCGCAGGGCAGACTCTGGGTAAGGGGTGGATGGGATGCTGCACAAGCCATGAGTGCCTGTGGTCAGCCTTCACCATGAGGCACCTTCTTAAACTCTGAGATAGGGCTAGCCTGGAACTTGGATCCTCTCACCTCAGCTTCTAAATCACTGAGATGACAGGCAAGCAGCACCACACTCAGCTTTTTAAGAACTTTTATGTCACGGCATCTTCAACTTTGCAACTTTGGGATCTGAGTAATGACTATTCAAATCCAGAGGCTCAATCCAGACCAGGGCCCAAACTGAGAACAGGGTGGGAGGTGCATGTACCTTGTGGTGGTGGAGGAGGAGGTGCCGCTGCTCGCTTCGGTTGTGGTTGGGGGAGGTGGTGGTGTGGTCCCAGGAGGCGGCGGGGCAGCTGTCGTCACACTGGGAGAGCTGGACACAGTCACCCCAGCAGGAAGGGTGCTATAGTAAGTGGCCACGTCGATCCCTGGAGGGGGTGGTGCCAGGCAGTAGGTTCCGTCGGGCAACATGTAGTAGCTGTAGTACATGGCTGCCACGGGTGCTGCAAAGACGCGTGGGGTGAGGCCGGGAGGGGGGCCAGGGGCCAGGAGCACCCTCTGCCCCTCCTCCCACAGCACTGGCCAGGTGATAGCAGTCCCCCGCCACCAGAGGAAGGTGAGCAGSCATGAGGACGCCCCAGCTGCGCACTGTGCAGCCCAGGAAAAGTTCCCGCTGGCAGCAACTGGTGGCCTTTCCTAGGGGCCTGCCCAGTTGGCCTGCCCTGCTCTGACACCAACTCCACATTCTCGGGAGCGTCTCTTTTCCACTTAACTGTTCACACTGGAAACAGTACTGTCTGCAAGCTGACACCTCCATCACCCCTGCACCCCGTGATGGGGCACTGCCATTCATTCAGGTCCAATGGCCCTGGGACTGCTCCTGGGCTTCCCTATCATCCACAGACGCACAACAGCTTCCTCCGCACAAAGGCTCACACCCATGGGACTGTAGGCCATTATGCTAGCCATGAAGAGCCCTGCAGGCTAAACCACCTAATTTTAGAAAATATTCAAAACCAGCACAAACCACAGAAGATTCAATGATATAGCTGAGAATTTAGTCCTAATCCTATATCAGATAAAAAAAGGTTCTCTATATACAGGTTTAATTTCTCCTTCATTAGAAGATGGCATACAGATTTCTTCCGATGAAGTGATTTTGATTTTCACTTTAAATAGTAACATGGTAAGACAAGTCCACAGAGCTGCCATACTGCAGAGGGGCATTCAAGTTCCCAGACACGAGCAAAGCCTTTCCACCCCAGGCTGGCAAGACGATGCCCCCAGGGCACTCTCTCCCCTGCAGGCTTAGCCCCGCCAGCACCCAGGCTCTGCTCTTCCCTCCACCTTGGCACAGGCACAGTGCCTGTCTGCTCTGAAGCACCCCAGTACTACCAACAGCTCCCAACCATGAAGGACTCACTTTTTATTAAGTAGACACAAACGAACTCCAAAATGTCCCTCTCTGGCTCAGTGCTACACATCAACCACTGTATACAAGAAAGGCACTATCTAAAATTTCAGAATAGGGTGTGTGGTCTCAACGAGCTAGTCACACCAATGCCACACAGCAGCATTTKCGTCATCTCTGGAGACAGAACAGACAAGACCACATGAACAAGGAGGGGCTGGTGGCGCCTAGGCACTGTTCTGTGGGCACCTGTGAGGGTCTCTACCATCTCTGAAGCCCTAGCTCTAAGCACACAGCATGTGTCAGTGATACATGGTTCAAACACTGTCAAAACTAAGCAGGCATGTGAGAACCTGCCTCTGCCTCCCACCCTGGGCAGAGCCACCCTAGGGGAAGCACAGGCGCCCTGAGCAAGGAGGGCAAGTCAGATGCTCCTGCTAGATCCCAGGCCTTGCTCATCTTGGGGGAAGGATGAAATGCGCGGTTCTGTCCTGGCCAGTCTTCAGCTAAAGCCCAGGTGTGTTTTCAACTGTAGCCACAAGTAAGACCCCTGAAGCCCAAGGGCAAACAGTGGCTGGGACTTAGCTCCCAGGAGGCAGAGTCACGAGCTCTAGCCTGCTGCACTCCTCCATGGCAAAGTGAGTACTGTGCTTCAAACCAAGCACCACACCTTGAGAACCACCACGCCATCAGTCTGCGTGAGCTTCCGGAACCTCACAGTGTGCCAACTGAGCAAGGCATTAAACACAGCAATGCTCATGACGAGGTAGGCTCGTGTGACTCAGAGACCCACCCACCTCAGACCTCCGAAGGTGCAGTGAAGACTGCACACAGCTTAGACAGTACAGCAGGCCTGCAGAAGGGTGAGGGCTGTTTAGGGGAGCACTCGGGATGGACCCCAGGCTGCGCACTTCTAAGAGAAACCCCAAGCCTGATCCCCACGCTAAAGCCTGCCTAGGATACCTGCAACCCCCACAGAGACTCACACAGAGGAGGGGCAGTCCACGCCACCCGCAACTTCTCACCCACACCCTTCGGCTCTCCCCAGCAGCACTGTAACCACCTGCTGTGAAGGTGGGCAGGACGTGCGCGGGGAGAGGGTGGCAAGTGGGGGAGGCAGCAGGGCATAGGCCACTGTAATGTGACACTTTCTTCACACCACCCTGGGTGCTGCTCCCCRGTTCTCAATTCACAGACTGTGAGCAACTGGAAGGTTTTAGGGAGGTGGGACGGTTGGAGCCCCGAGTGCCCTCCCTAGAGGCCTGGCCCTGTCCTTGCGCCCTGCCCCAGGTTGCCCTGTTTCCTCCGTCTTGGCACAGGGCCAACAGGTATTCTTTCCAGATGCCTCTGTACACACCCTGTGGTGGTTGGGCACGTCCTGCCCGGAATGGAGACGATGAGACCTCAGCAGCGTGCATGCTCTGTACACATCCTGGCTGGCTCAAAGTGCTGCTCCAGGCACACTGGAATGATGTTCCCTGCAGACCAGCAGCGAGTGAGGTGTGGCCCTTGTTCCAGAGGCTTCCTGGCCATGGCCTGCAGGGCTGCTCACAAGCCCCTCCCTAGCCACCAGCTGAGCTAGGGCCCAGGGTCCCCCCCAGACAGTCTCCTGAGTGACACCACAGCTTGAGAGGTGCTGGGCCAGACCAGGAAAGAACAAACCTCGGATCCACAACTGAGGTCTGTTGCCTCACACTGTTACCCAGGCCTAGAACTGCAGGGCTCTCCCTCTACAGCCTCCCAAGTGCTGGGACCACAGGTAAGCGCCAAACTAGGCTGCTTCATGAGAACTGCAAAAACCTACTCCAATGGACCCAAGTGAGAAATTCCACCAAGTGCCGTATTTCCTAAAGGAAGCACAGTGAGAGGAACAAGCTGCTCAAGGCACAGTGAACACAGGAGTGCTCGTCGCATGTCTTCCCTAGGCGAGGCCAGAGAAGCCTGCCCCGTGACCTCCCAATGCCCCTTGATGGGCTTTTTGCAAAAACTCTGAGCTCAGCCTCTGAGTTCTACGGAGGAAAACATCTTTCACTAGTGAACAGGCACCAGGAAGGCAGCACTGCATAGCTGCTCATGTGGCACCACTGAGCATTTCTCCTTGGAGGCAGCAGACATGTGGCAGCTCACTGCCCACCCCCAGGAACCCACAGCTGTGCACGGTGCTTTGACCCACCCGAAGCCTGTCCCTGTCTCCTGCCTCTCAGCCTCCTTTCCCAGATCTGAATCATCTGTTCATACATGTTCCGAGCATCTTGAGTTCAATGGCTTTAAATGCCACATTCTCTGTGACTGCGAAATCCATCTCCAGCTGGAGGGCCTTGGTGTGTAGCCACCCACTTGGCACTCCTACCTGTCTCGGGTTTGTCTCCACACCCTCTCCCGAAGCTCCTGCCCAGAAATGCCATGCATCCACTTAGCCTGGGCTCCATGATTTCACAGACCCAAGGCTGATGCCCCCACCTGCAGCTCCGCCCTCCTACTGCACAGCCCAGAGCTGACAGAGGCGGGTCACTCCTCGGCCACGGTTTCCTTTCAACCACAGTAAGCCTGTTCCTCGTCTKGGTGGCCCTCTCATGCAGTCCTATCTTCCTTCTCTGCCCCCTGACCCCCAACTCCTCTCAGGCTTCCCTGAGAACCACCTCGCCAGCTTGCTCTGGACTTTATGTTTTTAATATTTATTTTTWAATTATAGGTGGACACAATAACTTTATTTTACRTGGTGCTGAGGCTCAAACCCAGTACCTCAGGCATGCCAGGCGAGTGCCCTGCCTCTGAGCCCCAGCCCCATGCTCTGGACTTCTTTAGGCGGCCTCTGGTCACAGAGGGACTGCCTGACCTGCTGTAACTACCTGCTCCACTGTGCTCAGTCTCACAGCAGTCCCTTTTCTGCAGGAACACATGCCAGRACCCCAGGGACGCCTGACACTACAGACAGTGCCAAACTCTATGTGGACTCTTCATTCCTGTACATGCACATCCCCGACAGAGCTCGACTTGTAAAGCAGGCGCAGCAGGAGATTAACGCAGAAATCCACAGTGAGACAGAGACCCCAACACTGCGCTGCAGGGGAGGCTCTGACCAGCCCTCTCACTCACTGCACCACGCTGCTCAGTGCTCAGCCTTCTTGGGGTATGAGAGGATGCAGCCTGTGAGGAGAGGTAAGCGAGGCCAGGACCCTGGCATCAGGACGCAGCATTAGACCACCTCCTAAGAGTTGTCTGCACACAGGATCTGTGACACCATTACAGAGATCTGGTAACCAAGGCGGCTGTCAAGTCACTGTCGGGAGGGTAGCACTGGACACAATGGGCAAAGGGGGCTCACATCCTTGATGGAAAGCAGAGGAAGGGCCATGGTTTCATCTTGCAATGCAGAATGGTGTGCTACTTAAAACACAAGGATTATTTCTGCAATTTTCCATTAAAGGTTTTTGGACCTTRTGTCCCAGAGAAAGTAAAAATGAGAAAAAAGTGGGGACCACTGAGTGTTCATCTGTGTAATCTSTCTGTGTTCTCTGTGGTGTCAGCTCCACGATGGGAGTTGTGCCCATGCACTCCTGGCACGGTACCCACAGTGCAAACTTGTTCAGCAGATCACAAGTGGCACGGGAGAGAATCAGAATGGCAGGCTTCTCAGCAGAGGCAAAGCTACTAGGAGACGGTGCACAGAACAGTCCAGAATCTGAGGGCACATAATTTCCATCCCACAATTCTAGGGCCATCTCACATCTGTCCAGTGAAGACAGGATTAAGGCATCTAGGCTACCTGARGATAACGTGTCTTCCACGTACCCTTTGCTGGCAGTTACTGAGGACACACTCTGGCAAAGCACAGGAACAAACAACAAGAAACAAACAAAGAGACCAACACAGACACAGAGCAACACGGGGCTTGGGCAGGGGGAGCACAAGTTCAAAGCCAGCCTCAGAAACTTAGCGAGACCTAAACACTTGCAGGTGGCCAGCAATCTGGGCATGCTTAGGGACATCAGAGCCCACAGCACCTGCAGAGGGGCTGCTGACCCAGCAGCAGTGGAGACAGGGCCACGGCCTCACACAGACCAGTGAGGAGCAGGATGGACGGGCTGCTCC